CAGTGGTGTTCGAGTAGAGAGCTTGTATGAGGTTAATGTACTTCTTTGGTACACCTTTCAATGGCAGACACTGCCACAGAACCTCACGATCAACAGAGTCAAATGCCGCTTTCAGGTCCAGGAAAACAACTATTGTAGGACGCCTAAATGTATGTCTATGTTCCAGGACCTGTCGTAGTGTGAAAATCTGGTCTATACAACCACGTCCAGGTCGAAAACCAGATTGGTTCTCTCGAGTTTGCTCTTCACGAGCTTTCGTTAAGCGTCGAAGTATTATTGAGGCCAATATTTTAGATACTATATTAGTTAGACTTATTCCCCTGTGATTGTCACAAGAAGACTTTTGTCCTTTCTTACAGATTGGGACAATCAGTGATTGAGACCAGTCGGATGGGATTATGTCCAGTTCCCAGATTCTACCTAAGATCTCAGTCAACCTAGCTGCTAATAACTTGACCACCATCCTTAAATATCTCAGGGGTCAGTCTATCACGACCTGCTGCTCGCCCTCGCTTCAGATTTCCTAACGCTTTCTGAATTTCGTAAAGACTGGGGGGACTTAAATCGATTTGCCATTCAGGATGACTGGAGATCGTGGGTAACCGAAGAGTGGCTCGTGGCCAGTTGAACTGATCCCTAAAGTGTTCTGCCCATCGATCCAGTCTCCTGGATTGAGAATGGATAATAAGACTGGAGATGACTGGAGATCGTGGGTAACCGAATAGTGGCTCACTCACATTTGGGTTCTTAATACCTGTAATATTCTTAGGAACAACTTCAGACTGTAAACGGATTTTCTACCGTAGCAGTTCAAATGGTTTCCAATAAGTGCAATCCGAACGCGTATCTCCCAGTCCAATGTCCAAAAAAAACACAACAATTCTAGGAGAAAACGGTCTATATTATATTAAAAGATGGAAATACAAAGCAATACCTGAAGTTGATGCACCTTCCAGGTCACAATTACTCCGAGGAGTATCCAAGGTAAAGGGGAATAAGTGACGTTAAGTCCAACCGCCACTGTATCAATCCAAATATGGCTGTGGCCATATTAAAGCTGATTTTAAACAACGTATATACAGTTCAGAAGCAAACATAAAACTTCAATATAAGTACAAAATATAGAAATAATAACAATATACAATGATAAAATCTCAAATTGGAATAAAATAAAATACCAAAAATGTCAACAGAAAAAGTCCGTCATGTCATAACAAAAATATATAAACATGGAGGGATTTTCCAAAAAACAAAACATTCAAAAAGGATTCTACAATACCAGTTTCCTTGATGAGTCTAAATAGTTGTCTACTGTTGCCTATCGCCGTCGCTTTTTCCATCGATTTCGCTTTCACCACCCACTACTGTTCACGGTCGTTGCGTAGGCTTTTTATCAGTCTGCACCTAAGCTGACTACGCTCTTCATCATGCTCAGAGTCAGGTGGGATGCGTTTTCGAGCATCCATCAGTTCGGTGGATGCGAATGAAATCCACGGCTTCATCATAGCCTTATGGTTAACCTTACTAGCAGATATCACTTCTGTTTCCACAGCTTTTTTGATATCATACCAACCTGCTTCTGGATGGGAATCGCTTACATGGTTACCTAACTCTTGTTCTAGTTGCTCCTAAAATATTTTCTTAGTTTGATTATCATTAAGTAAAACCCTAAGAGGCTTTCTTACGGTGTCTTTCCTACGTCCAGCAAGCCTCACACAGATACGCGCTCGCACTAAGGCATGATCTGAATCCAAACATGTGCCCCACAACGAGCGACAGTCCTCTATCGAACCCCTCCATCGGTAGCTGATGGCGATGTGATCTAGTTGCGTCCAACGTTGAGACGACTTTGGAGGTTGCCAGGTCAACAGATGCTTTTCCTTATGCCTAAAGTTAGTGTTTGCTAAGAATAGGCGGTTGTCTGAGATTACTTGCAACAGACGGTCAACATTGTCTGTTCTGTGAGCCGCGACACCATAACATCCACCTAGGTGTCTTTCATTTTCACTTAGTCTACCTACTTGAGCATTAAAGTCACCAGCCATTATTACTATATCAGAGTGCCTAGATTTTTGGAGGAGGTCCGAAAGCTTTCTGTAGAACTCATCTTTAACCTCGTCTGAATTGCAGTCAGTGGGGGCATAGGCAGATACGACGACGAGTGTCCCTATCTTTCCGAATCCTTACTGTCCCGTTTAGTCGGACAGCGCATAAGCGACTATCTACTGGGATACAGTCAAGGAGAGATTGTTCAACTGTACGATTCAATGCTATGCCTACGCTAGCGAGACGTAGGAAGAACTATGTGGGCACTAATGAATGTATTTTACTTCGAATCGAACAAATAAATAAAGCGGAAATGATACACACTGACTAACGTGTTGATAATATTCGTCAGGAGTCGGCATACTGATGGCATATCAGTGCTCGTGGGGTGAAATTATCTAAAGGTTGAAGGATAACAATCCAGTAATGAACACTAGAGCTGAGAAACGTGTACAATAATCATGATAAAGCTTAACTACTGACCATTTGTACATTTTTCTGACTTCCTTCTTCCATATGTATTTTCAGCTCCAATAATTATCTCTTAATTAAAAGTGAAAACTCCGCCTCTAGAACCCAGCACGGTATCCAGCGGACAGCTAGGACGCAGCTGGACTTCACAGATGAACTGGTTCTTCCATCGCATACGCATACGAAGAAAAGACGACCAGTGTAGCAGCAGTAGGTCTCAACATACATAAAGGGAAAAGCAAGATCCTACGATAAAACACAACATGCGTCAACCAAATCACTCTTGATGGAGATTCTTTGGAGGATGTTGACACCTTTACATGTCTGGGCAGCATCATCGACAATCAAGGTGGATCCGATGCAGATGTGAGGGCACGGATCGGCGAAGGACTGCATTTCTTCAATTGAAAAATATCTGGAACTCCAAACAACTTTCAACCAAAACCAAAATCAGGATTTTCAATACAAATGTCAAGATAGTTCTACTGTATGGAGCAGAAACATGGAGAACTACGAAAGCCATCATCTAGAAGATACAAGTATTTATTAACAGTTGTCTACGCAAAATACTTCGGATTCGTTGGCCAGGCACTATCAGCAACAACCTACTGTAGGAGAAAACAAACCAGATTCCAGTGGAGGAAATCAGGAAGAAGTGGTGGAAGTGGATAGGACACACTGCGAAAAGCACCCAACTACGTCACAAGGAACCCTCAAGGTCAAGGGAAAAGAGGAAGGCTAAGGAACACACTACGCCGAGAAATAGGGAAAGACATGAGTAGAATGGACCAAAACTGGAAAGGGAAGCCCACGAGAGAGTTGGTTGTAGAACACTTCTCGGTGGCTTATGCTTCATTGGGAGTAACAGGCGAAAGTAATTAAGTAACTAAAGGTGAAACTTCATAGCTATCATGCAAGAACATTCTTTTTCCAAGGTGGGAGTAACGTAGGTTATGACCTCTATGACTTGCAATTAACATTGTCAAAAACAGTCTTATGATTATTGTTTGTATGATCGACAGCTACCCTGTTTCAAACCACCTAATGTCATTATAGATAATTTCAATCTACGTTTCGTTATTTAGGAGTAATAATCGAGGAACCAGTAATGTGAAGACGTTCAGAGATTGATATCTCGACATCAGCTAGGGAATTCGTCACTAGGACATCCTTTAGGTCTAATAAACTTAGACCAGTATATAGTGATCTTGCTGGCATAAATATATGCTAGTGACCTAACTGCTACATTTTGAAATCGAAAAAGAGACTGGAAAAATGTGTAATGGGTATCAACTAGACTTTGGAATATACTAAGTGTTTGATATCAAAGAGAACAGTCAACCATAAAGGCTCCATGCAATGAGCTATAAATGTGTAGAGAGCTTCCTGCAACCCCTTACTTTTGTATTGTATAGTTAGTTCGTTATTGGACGCTTAGATTATGGAATTCTTATATTCTTCTATTGGTCAATTTTTACCGAACCGATAAAACTGATCTTATTATTTCACGTTTATCGCTAATAATTTTGTATGACTGATTAGTGAGTTATATTGCCACATGGTAATTTTCTAATTTATATCGGTGTGTGTATATTTCAAGTGATGATTAAATACAGGATTTAGAAAAAAACTTTTATCCTGTGATCTTCCGGCTGGACATTAAAAGTTGAAATAATATAAAGGATCGTTAGACATTGAGAAATCGGTTGTTATTTTATTCAATAACCACTCCTAAGGACGACATACAAGCCAACTAATCAATACAACTGCTACTTTATTATTATGTTGGGGATGTTAGATCCCCAGAACTCTCTTGATAAATGCCTTATTTTGGATTTCACGTTTGCCAACATGGGCTGATCAGTTGACATTGAGATTTCATTTCCCACCAGGGAAATCCATGGCTGTGATTGGCTGCTGTGTATTTTAGTGTGCTATTTTCATAACTGCCCCACTAGTACGTTTCTATGATGTATAAATGAACGAGATTTGTGTATGCTTGATTGTATTGTGATTGCTGGGTGTGTGTAGAATATACTTTCTACGCTTACAAAGCCTTCTGTTTTACAGCTTGGGATTCAAGGTAGCCTATCTAGACGCTGGTTCATTATCTCGTTCTTGTTTATCGACTAAGGTGAACTCGTGATAGCTTCAAGCGTACCTAGTGACGAACATATCATATTAATAACAGCCTGACCATATGAATCTCAAAACACACAAGTAGTACAGGGTTATACAAGAAAGAAAACACAGACTGCAAAAAAAACAATACAAGTGTTTTGTAGAAATCAAATAAGTTGAGTAGCTTGATACAAATGACTAGCCGGTCATAAAATAAATGTATCTGATAAGCTAAAATTGAAAATATAGAAAAAAAATCTTCATCTGAAAGTATTGTGTATGTGTGTGTTGAAGTAAATTTTTTTTTCTTAAAATACATCATTAATGAAGAGATATTTTCAATGTTTACATGTTATTCACGATTAGGATGAGCAAGAAACACGCAGTTTACGAGACCATTCAGGAGGACGATATTGGATTCTGGATGCAAGATGACATGACTACAAGAAGAGAGTTTTTTGTTTTTACAAAAAAAGGAATAATAACAAGTTATAAATATGTATGTGATTTATTCATATATTTTTCAAGTTTACAACTAGTAAATAAGTTAAATCTAGTGAATTATGGAACAACAGAGACTTCTAATATCTAAAAGCAATTAAGTTTAAAGGCAGTAAAATCGATATTACAGAAGTTACATTGTCAAGCTTTTGATGTCGTGTTCAGAATAACACAATCAGCGACTGTTTTAAATAAAACGGCCAACCAAATCAAAACATGGCACAAATCCATGAAGTGAAATGAGTCATGTTGGTAGGTGTCGGCTACTTGGTTGGGGTCCGCGAGACTATAATAATCGATGGTTAGAGATCATTGACGACATGGCTCAAAATCGTTTGCAATGGCGCAGGTGCATCCAGCCGTTGTGTTCTCTCAAATCATAATCTTTGTAGTTTCATAAAGTTTCATACACTAGATTCTAGTTCTTGAATAATATCTTCGATCCCTAATCTCCATTGCCGCTAATGCCTCTACTATCTCTACCACTATGAGAATGGAATTGACAATTCGACCTGTTTGTGTTAATGTAGTATGGCAACTTGAACTGATGTACGCACGTACGAAGTTCTACGTAGTAGCTGACTGACTGATATTAGTTACTGATATGCCATTCAGTCAGTGTGTTGGCATCCTAGACTTACAGGAGACCAGTTATGTACAGAATAACTTATCAAACGAGTTGACATTAAATGAGATTTCGGGAGATGTTGGCTCACTTACTTTAATAACCACATTGGAACACCTGATCGATAGGATATGTGAACAGCGCTAAGGACTAGACAACATGACACTGGTTACCACCTGATTATTGATTCATGTGTAAACAACCGAGTCATACAGGTCAGTCGTGATTTGCCTCTCTTAATCGGGCGAACAACCGAGCTTCCGTTCAGTTGTTCCCAATAATTTAATACCTTTAATTATATATATATATATATATATATATATATATATATATATATAGGTAAAGACGGAAGGTCGATAGATGAAGTATTGAAAATTCATCAATTGAGGTGGTTGAGTCATGTGTTACGAATGCCCAACCACCGACTTCGTCGTCGATCTATGTTTTGAGGTGTAGGAATAGGTTGGAAGAAGGCTAGGGGCGGTCAGACCAAAACATGGCATAAATCCATGAAGTCACTGACAAGTGGACTGAGTCATGTTGGTAGTTGTCGACTACCTGGTTGGGATCCGCGAGAAGATGGTTAGAGACCCTGAATGACATAGCTCAAAACCGTTTGCAATGACGCCGGTGCATTTATTATTTGTGTTCTCTCAAATCTTAATCTTCTGGATTCTTCAACACCTCTAGTTTTGTCTTCTAACCTTATCTCACTGAATCATACTTCTTGAATAATATCTTCTAATCTTAACCTCTCCGATTACTTCTAATACCTTTACTACCTGTTCTACTTTTGGATTTGAATCGACGATTGCGTTTCTGTGCTGATGTGGTATGGTGACATGAACTGATGTACTTACGTACGAAGTTCTAGTTTGTAGCTGACTGACTGATCTGCCATCCTTACGTAGTATCCGTTTCTTAACAACACAGCATTGCTTACTCAATTGTTGCATCACTAAAGATCAAACCAAAAATGATACTGGTCTTTATTCAGTAATCTAGTTAACAATAAGTATACATATATATATATATATATATATATATATATATATATATATATATACTTATGAATATCTTTCTTTATTACTTACTTTACTATTTAAAGATATATTCACATTTTCATAAGGTGTACATAATGAATTGAATAATTGTTGAGCAATTGTATAATCTCCACTGTCAGCTGATTTGATAGCTTCTTCTGCTAAATAATTTCGTAGAACTATACGTGGATTAACAGATTGCATTAAAGCTAAACGTTCCAACAATTGCATGCCACTAGTGTTGTTATTAATATTCTCCTCTTGAAAATCAATTTTTAAACGTGTTTTATATTCTTTTAACCAATCAGACCATAAACGTTTATTTCTTTCTTGATATTCTTCATTTGTCATATGCTAAATATAGAAAAAAAAACCGGAAAACAGTGGTGATATACAGTTTGTGTTAATACTAAGTAGAGTTGGCTAGACAGTATAAGCGACAACCTACTGTAGGAGGGAATAAATTAGATTGTAGCTGAAAGAGAAATCAAGATGCACTGGAGGTAAGTAGGACACCCAACTGAGAGTTACAAGATAAGCTCTCACTTGGAATCCTCAAGGACAAAGGAAAAGGGGAAGGCCAAGGAACACATTACGTCGAGAAATAGAGACGGGTATGAGGAGAATGGACAAAAAATTGGACAGAACTAGGAAAGGAAGGCTCAGGATAGAGTAGAAAGGTTAGGGTTAAGTTGGTGGCGTATGCTCTATTGGGGGTGACAGGTGTAAGTGTGTACTTACTATAGTTGGTGGCCAACTAAGCTGCTAACTCTTTAAAACAACATTGCTGATTACCTAAAATGACAGTATACCTAATGATAATTGTTCTGATGCGGTTGTGAAGGTTGCTGAGTTTCACTGAAAACACGAATTGATCAATGTTAAATCACCATTGGGCAGCTGGTAGCACTAAACGACGGTTTCGTTCTACTATGGGATTTATCATTAGTGTGTTCCCGTTACCCCGTAAGTGGGAATCGAAACTAGGGCATTTGGAGTTCAATGGTGTCAAGTGTGAGGCAATTACCCTATGAAGACAATGGATCAGGTTAAGCAATATCGTAGATTAAATGAAGTTACACGTCAACACTGTTGATTACCGCCTCTGTGTTCAACATGTTAAGAGTTGCAGTTACTGAATAATATGTACGAATACTTGTCCAAATAAATAAATAGACATTCCACCCCGTTAGAAAACAAATCCATTTCTTGACTAATGATATGCATTCGTCCTTTAGGACATTTCTGATGGTCAACAAACGGCCTCCTTATCCGGCCACTTCTGATTGGGTAACCAACCACTATACCAATAACCGGAAAAGTATGATTTTATTTTATAAGTGCGAAAAAATTAACTATTGTCGACTTCTAAAACTACACCTGAAATTACTTAAAAGTAGGGAGATCAAAACCATGTCTTAGGAGTGTTAAGAAGTACTCAACTTTTAACTAGTAAGTTGGAAACTCAAATCCTACTTCATTTTGTTCAGTTTAAACTAGTCTTTAACAAAAACGACAGCGTAATACAGTCGTGGCTTGAAAAACTAACTATGTAGTTGGGTGACATGGGTTTGAATCGGATCCTTCAGAGTTACAGGCACACTTAACAGAAGAATGCTAGATAGCATGAACTTTAGGTATAGGATTTCCTGGCTTACATTTATTATTCTCACTTCCCTTAACGCACAGATCAATTTCTTTTCCACGCCTGTCCCCTTGCACTAATCAAACTTGTTGTCAAATAATACTGAAAGTTGTACAAGTGATCGTACTGGTTATTATGAGTTAAATCTTGATTAAAAACCCAATAATAAACATTGTGATAGCGATGAACTCGAGTAATCATGTTTATTGGTACTGCAGATTCGAATTCGAGTGTTTTCGCAGTCATGGGTGATTTATTTCTAAATAGCGTTTTCGTCGCTTTAAGCGCTCAAAAATAGAGTTCGAGAAACTGTGTAGATAACGTTTCACCGTCCATGATGCTCAATTCTATTTGAATTAGAAATTATACATATGAAATTTGTAGGCTGTAGAAATGGTAGCAAGTCAGTCAGTTAATTACAACGTAGAACTTCGTACATGAGTACATCAGTTCAAATTGCTATACCATATCAGCACAGAGACGCAACTGTCACTTCAAATCCCATAGTGGTAGAGATACTAGGCGTATTAGCAGTAATCGGAGAGATTAACGTTCGAAGATATGATTCAACAAGTATAATTCAATGAGATAACATTAGAAAGCGAAAGACAAGGGACGATGAGGAATCCATAAGATTACAAATGGTCAGAAAGCTGCTAGAGTAACACTGTAGTGAAGGAGAACCCAGGTGAAGGCAACCGAATTGTATTTATCTCAAATTACAGAGTTACTCAGTAAAATTGGGAAACCATATCGTAAACGATGAATTTGCAAATCTTCAATCCATTATCTGACATTTCACTTATTCATGCATTTCATACAAATTCCATTATGTTCCCACTCTTCTTCCTTTCTCTTGATCCTTCCCCCATCTTCTGCTGCCAGATATTACGTTTACACTCACGTCATATACTACTTATAAGTAGCGAGCACCACACCACCTACCTCATAGTCGATTCTTCAATGTCAACTCATTCAATTGACACTTTGACCGAAAGTTATACATATAAATTTATACTTAATAAGTAGTAAGTCTCTATCATGTAAAGAAGCCGGCACGGATACAGAAGGCTCGATTGGCTTTTGCCAACTTGCGTCACTTATGGCGTAGGCGAGATATCCGTTTGCTGACTAAAGGACGAGTGTACTGTGCAGTGGTTCGCTCCGTCTTACTTTATGGCTGTGAAACATGGCCAGTGAGAGTAGAAGATATTCGTCGGTTATTGGTTTTCGATCATAGGTGTCTTCGAAGCATTGCTGGTATATCGTGGGACACCCGAGTGAGCAACGCTGTTATTAGGAAACGGGTACTAGGTAAGAATGGCAGATCAATCGATGAAGTGGTGAAACTTCATCGGTTGAGGTGGTTGGGACACGTGTTGCGTATGCCTAACCACCGACTGCCTCGTCGAGCTTTGTTTTGTAGTATAGGAATAGGTTGAAAGAAAGCTAGGGGTGGCCAAACCAAAACATGACACAAATCCATGAAGTCACTGACTAGTGGACTGAGTCATGTTGGTAGTTGTCGACTACCTGGTTGGGGTCCGCGAGATGATAATAATCGATGGCTAGAGACCTTGAATGACATGGCTCAAAATCGTTCGCAAAGGCGCCGGTGCATTTATTCTTTGTGTTCTCTGAAATCCTAATCTTCTGGATTCTTCGACACCTCTAGTTTCGACTTTCTAAACTTATCTGACTGAATTATACTTCCTGAATAATATCTTCTAATCCTAACCTCTCCGATTACTCCTAATACCTTTACTACCTCTACTACTATAGGATTGGAATTGACAATTTCATCTGTCTGTGCTGATGTGGTATGGCAACATGAACTGATGTACTTACGTACGAAGTTCTACGTTGCAACTGACTGTAAAGAAGCCTTATTCCGCTGAATATCACCACCACTAGCAATAATAACAAAAAAAAAACAAAACAAGAGAAGCACATTCGCTTTTTTTTTCTTCTTTACTTACTTCTAATTCTGCATATAATTTTTCGCGTTCTTTACTTTTTAACATTTTCACTTCTTCTAATTTATCAATAATATTTTCACGTATACCAGCAAATTTTAATGATAAATAATGATGTCTACCAGATGAAGGAAGGAAGGAATACAAGAAAGCAATCATAAGTAAAAATTAAAATACAAACAGGAATTACTTAGAGTTTATGCAGATTACTTTATTTAGAGCCTAACTAACAATGTCACATACTTCAAATAATGTTTCCTATTCGACCTAAATGTATAAATATGCATTATACGTAACGTCGCATGACCCAGATCCTTAGACTCTTCTGGACTCGTTCTCGTTTATTAACTAAGGTGAACCTGTAATAGTTTCAAGTATACCTAGTGACGAACCTAAAAATTTGGGCGATGGGGATGGGATCACATTGATCCTTCGAGACTTGAATTATCACACGAGCAGCAGCTGAAATAATGAAGATGGATACCAAGCTGCATCGTGACACGACTATAGTGAATCAAGTCAATATGACGTTGTGTATTGCACCTGTCAACTAACCAGAGTAGATGTGCCCCCTGCTACATCCAGTCCACTTCACTTCAGCTCAATCCAACAGCCGATCTAAAATTACTTTGTTAAGTTGGTTCAAACAGTTAACATTAGCAGATGTCCCATCAAGCATATAAAAAGAAGCCAATCCGCTCAGAAGTACCCAAGACTGGTCCTTATCTCCGTTCCAGAAATATCCTCCCCGACAGCAGCAAACAATAGTCCAGATCCAAATAAACCCTTGTGTGTTGCTTCAATTTCTTCAGAGAGAGGTGTTAGGATATTCATCCAATATCCTAAAAGAATTATTGGTCAATCCCTATTGGTTAATTTCTACTGGTCAATTTTATGATCGTCCTAGATATCAATGTCACGTACTCCAATGTTCTTTCTTATTGGTCGACCTAAGTATCAATGCCACTTCAAATGTTGTTTCCTATTGGTCGTCTCAACTGTCACAGGCTTTGATGCTGTTTCCTATTCAACCTAAATGTATAAATAAGCAATATCTGTAACGTTCCATGACCGGGACCCGGATCCCTAGTCCGGTATGCTGATTCTCTTCTAGACTCAGACCTCGTACTTTCTGGATGCTTGTAGAATACAGGTTCCACTTCATATCAAGTCTTCTACTTCTACTAAATGGGGGTTTGGGACGCCTGGATTGTAGTAGCCCGTCGTGTCGCTAGATCCTCGATCCTTGCTCTCGTTTACTGACTAAGGTAAACTCGTAATAGTTCAAGCATATCGAAATGACGTGTTTACATGCATTCGTAACACAGGGATATTGTCCGGGTTCTCAAACTGAAGTGGCTTTCTTTAGGGGATCATACTCCGAGCCTTTCACCTACCAGTCAAAAATCAACAAGGTAGTGGAACAACATCACGAGATGCAGTCTTGTGGTAATCAATGACCAACAGTAGGTTCATACGTTGTTTGTTCCACCAAGATCCTGAAGTCCATGTGTATCATTTGATTGAAGCGAAGGTTTTCCAACTCCCCTAAGTGGATCCTCTGTAACCGCTTACCTCGTTTAGGTGCTAGACACTTGCTTTTTATACTCTCGATTTTGCTAAAAACACTTGTGTCATGATAAAGCAGTGAGGATGACGATGATTAAGTTTAAGTTATATGATATTACTTAAAAAAACTATTGAATAAGAGGTAAATATTTTTCTAACAAATGAATCTATGGTTTCAGATCGAATCAACGAAGTCAGACAGTCAGTTACAACGTCAAACTCCATACATACGTACATCACTTCAAGTTGCCATACCACATTAGCACAGAGATGCAGTTGTCAGTTCAAATCTCATAATAGTAAAGGTAGTAGAAGTGATAGCAATAATCGGAGAGATTAGGGTTCGAGGATATTATTTGAGAAGTAGAATCCAGTGAAATAAATTAGAAAGAGAAAGATGAGGAATTCAGAAGGTTAGAATTGGAGAGAACACAAGGAATGGATGCACCTGCACCATTGCAAACGATTTTGAGTCCTGTCGTTCAAGGTCTCTAACCATCGGTTATTATCGTCTCATGGACCCCATCCAGGTAGTCGACACCTACTAACATGGCTGAGTCCACTTATCAGTGACTTCATGGATTTCTGGTATGTTTTGGTCTGGCTACCCCTAACTTTCGTCCAACCCACTCCTACACTACAAAACATAGCTCGACGAGGAAGTCGGTGGTTAGGGATACTCAATACACGTCCCAACCACCTCAACTGTTGAATTTTCACCACTTCATCTATTGATCTGCCATCCTTATCTAGAACTCGTTTCCTAACGACAGCATTGCTTACTCGGTTGTCCCATGATACACGACAATGCTTCCGAGACACCTATGACTGAAAACCAGTAACCTAAGAATATCTTCTACTCTGACTAACCATGTTTCACAGCCATAAAGTAGGACGGAGCGAACTGCTGTGCAGTAAAACCGTCTTTTGGTTAGCAAACAGATATCTCGCCTACACCATAAGTGACGCAAGTTGGCAAAAGCCAAATTGAGCTTTCTGTATCCGTGTTGAGATTATGTCAGTCACCAGGCCATACACACTGATGAGGCTCCCGAGATAATTAAACAAACGATACTGATTAACGTTGCTTCATAATATACAATAGATAAAATATAACTAGGATTGGAAACCAGGATGTTCTAATTTGACAATCATCAGGTGGATGGATGTACTGGCACAAAATGCACGTATGTCAATCAAACTATCAACAGAGCAATAATTTAAACTATTTTAATTACGTATGCCCAACCACCGACTGCTTCGACAAGCTATGCTTTGTGGTGTAGGAGCAGGCTGGAAGAAAGCTAGGACTGGCTAGACCAAAACATGGCAGAAATCCATGAAGTCACTGACAAGTGGATTGGGTCATGTTGGTAGATGTAGGGTACCTAGTTGGGGTCCACGAGACGATAGTAACCGATGGTTAGAGACCTTGAATGACATAGCACAAACTTGTTTGCAATACCGCAGGTGCATCCATTCTTTGTGTTCTCTCAAATTGTAATATTCTGAATTCCTCATCATCTTTATCTTTCTCTTTCTAATTTTATTTCACTGAATTATACTTCTTGAATAGTTTCTTCAAAGCCTAATCTTGTCCACTATTGCCAATATTGCTACAACCTATATCACTATAGTATTTGAATTGACAATTGTATCTCTGTGTGTACTTACTTACTTACGCCTGTTACCCCCAATGGAGCATAGGCCACCCACCAGTTTCCTCCAACCAACTCTGTCCTGGGCTTCCCTTTCCAATTCTGTCCAATGTTTGTTCATTCCTCTCATATCTTTCTCTATTTCTCGGCGTAATGTATTCTTTGGCCTTCCTCTTTTCCTTTTGCCTTGAGGGTTCCATGTGAGGGCTTGTCTCGTGATGCAGTTGGGTGCTTTTCGTAGTGTATGTCCTATCCACTTCCACCGCTTCTTCATGATTTCCTCCTCCACTGAAGGAGTCTGGTTTGTTCTCTCCCACAGTACGTTGTTGCTGATGGTGTCTGGCCAACGAATACGAAGTATTTTGCGTAGACAACTGTTAATAAACACTTGTATCTTCTGGATGATGCCTTTCGTAGTTCTCCAAGTTCTCACTCCATACAGTATAACTGTCTTCACATTTGTATTGAAAATCCTGATTTTGGTTTTGGTTGGTTGTTGTTTGGAGTTGCAGATATTTTTCGACTGTAGAAATGCAGTCCTTGCTTTGCCAATCCGTGCCCTCACATCTGCTTCGGATCCACCTTTCTCGTCGATGATGCTGCTCAGATATGTAAAGGTGTTAACGTCCTCCAATGCATCTCTGTCAAGAGTGATTTTGTTGGTGCATGTTGTGTTGCATCGGAGAATTTCGCTTTTTCCTTTATGTATGTTGGGACCTGCTGCTGCTACACTGGTCGTCTTCTCTTGCATTTGTTGTTGCGTGTGCGATAGAAGAGCCAGGTCATCTGCGAAATCCAGATCGTCCAGCTGCGTCCTAACTGATCTGTGTGTGCTAATGTGATATAGCAACTTGAACTAATATATGCAAGTACGAAGTTCTTTCTATGTACTAACTTACTGACTAACTGATTTTTATATCTTAAACACATGACAGATAAATATTATACAACAAATACACACTTACAATGCCATATCAATCGGTTCAAATGTTTCTTGTAGTTGACTTAAACTACAACATTCTTTAACTAACAGATCAGGTTTCAATACATTTGAATCAATGTTATCATCATCATCATTAAGAAGAAATTTTTTGAATAAATCTTCATCATGATTTCCATAGAATACTTGAGATAAAGTATCTTCCAATGCTAGAAATGTATTTGTAAAATCTGCACCAGTTTTTTCCATTGTATCAAATAAATTGTGTATAAGTTCTTTATCGATTTCATCTTTAGCATAAAGCAAACCTAACTAGAGAATAAAAATAATCAAGGTAACAATTTATATACATATACACACAAAATAATACAATTTAATATGAGTCAGACAGTCAGTTGCAACGTAGAATTTCGTACGTATGTACATCAGTTCATGTTGCCATACCACATTATTAGCACAGAGACGCAAATGTCAAATCAAATCCCATAGTGATAGAGATAGTAGAGGTATTAATGGTAATGGAGAAGACTAGGGTTTAAGATATTATTCAAAAAATATAATTCAGTGAGATAAGATTATAAAGACAAAGGTAGAGGTGATGACGAATCCAGAGGATTAGGATTTGAGAGAGCTCAAAGAATGGATGCACATGCGCCATTGCAAATGATTTTGAGCCATGTTATTCAAGGTCTCTAACCATTGGTGACTTTCGTCTCGCGGACCCCAACCAGGTAGTCTACATCTAACAGCATGACTCAGTCCACTCGTCAGTGACTTTATGGACTTCTGCCATGTTTTGATCTGGCCACCCCTAGCTTTCTTCCAACCTACTCTTACACCACAAAACATAGCTCGTCGAGGCAGTCGGTGGTTAGCCATACGCAACACATATCCCAACCATCTCAACTGATGAAGTTTCACCACTTCAACTATTGATCTGCCATCCTTACCTAGTACTCGTTTCCTAACAACAGCGTTGCTCACTCGGGTGTCCCACGATATACGAGCAATGCTTCTTAAACATCTATGATCGAAGACTAGTAACCTACGAACATCTTCTACTCTTAACGGCCATGTTTCACAGCCATATAGGAGAACGGAGCGAACTGCTGCGCAGTACACCCGCCCTTTGGTTAGCGAACGTATATCTCGTCTACGCCATAAGTGACGCAGGTCGGCAAAAGCCAATCGAGCTTTCTGTATCCATGCTGAGATTTCGTCAGTCAACAGGCTATCAGCACTGGTGAGACTCCCCAGATAAGTGAAGTGATCAACATGCTCGACTACTTCACTCCCTATCACTAGTTCAGGTGCCGATGAAACCCAATCTTGAAGCAACATTTTGCATTTTGAGTGTGAGAACCGCATCCCGAACATGCTTGTATTGTTGCTTATGGTAGTCAGAGTAGCTATGAATGATTAAGGTTTGACTGGATAATTTAAGGTAAATTGAACATTGAATAGAAATGGTACTTTTTTTGTAAGTAAGTAAATAAATCAATAACCGAAGTAAATTAATGCAAGTTTACACAGCCTAAAAGAACAATACATAGTGTTCATTGTAATCTAGTCCTCTTGCTTTCGCCACACATCACTGTTCATGATCATTGAATAGGCTTTTAGTCAACATGCGCTTCAAGTGACTCGATAATCCTAATCATGTTCGGAGCCAGATAGGATGAGTTGCCGAACATTTATCAGTTCGGTAGATGCTACTGAAATCCACTGTTTCTCTCCTAGACTTATAGATTACCTTATTAGCAGGTATCCCTACTGTCTTCACAGAATTTAGGATATCATACCAAGCTACCTCAGAGTTAGAATCACGAACCTTGCTGACCAACTGTTTTTGCTAGAGCATATTTTTTTGCCTTGCTCGAATCCTGCGAGGTGCAGGAGTCGTGGATGAGCACTGCTGATGAGCCCCATATACCAGGACAAAACGGCCGTCCAGTGCTTCCAGGTTTCTAATGGTAGTCGTCTAACAATGATTGATTGATGATTTCAAATGTGTAAGAACACTAATCTTCATAATTCTCATTGAAAATTTATCTTTCTTTGAACCCTAATCTTCTTTATTACCGCTAATACTTCTACTACATCTACAACTATGGGATATGAATTGACAATTCGATCTCGCCGTGCTAATGTACTGTGGCAACTGGAACTGATGCACGTACGAAGTTTTACGTTGTAGCCGGGTGACTGAATTGACTTTGGGTATCATCCCTAGAGCTTTTGATTTACAGGTCTAATCCATAAGGCAGTGGAACAATGTCTAGAGATGCAGTTCCATGGTGGTCAGTGACTAAGAATAAGTTCATACGACAGTTGTCCTGGGAGCCCATGTGTACTACTCGTCTGGAACGAGTTTCCCAACTCATCTAGGTGGACCCTCTGTATCCAGTCAAAAGGCAAAACACTCGCTTCTCCTCTTCGCCACTCCCTAAAAACAACACCCTTGCTGTGAGGTAGTGAGTAGGATGGTTGAAGACTATGTCTATTGATTTCCCTAAACTAACTCTGTCTTCCCTTTCTGATCTGATTTTGACATAAAACAAATTTTTTGAAATTCAACTATTTCTTATTATTTTTTTTTATAAAAAAAAATCATTCTTACCAACTTACCTTTTTACGCATTCTATCTAAATAAACACTTTGAAAATAAGGCATATAAGTAGTATGTAAAATATCTGTAAATTTTATGCTAAGATCATCATTAGTAATTATTCTTTGATCATCATCAGATGATAAATATTTCTGTTGATCAATTAATGCTTGAATTAAACAATCAGCTAGACGAGCACAATTCCATTGACAAACACTTGGTTGTTGTGCATAAGAATAACGTCCATCTGGATCTGAGGTATTCGGTACATGATCCCATGTGAATTGATCCATAAAACCAAATGGTCCATAATCAATTGTTAAACCAATAATACTCATATTATCTGTGTTTAGTACACTAAACAAAATTTTATATAAAAGGAGAAAATAAGACAAAATAAGGCACAATTAAATTAAATCAAATCAATGAGGAAAAGTAATTTTTTGAAACCATGAATCGATCAATGTTAGACCACCATTAGAAACCTGGAAGAACTGGACGGTGGTCTAACATTGATCGATTCATGGTTTCAAAAAAAAATGTGTAACTTAACAATCTTCACAAACCCGTAATGCAAATTACCTGTGCTCACTAGCGACTAGCTTCGTGAGGAATCTTCTTCGAGTTCTAGTGAGAAGTCGTGACCAGTGAAGTTCAACCTGTTCGGTTGTAGACAGTAACTACCGAAGACTGTGTATGAGGTTGCGCAACTCCGTGAATTTGATCAAGTTAGACATTAAAACCGTTAGATATCGGCTCAGTGGTCCGATGGTTAGGCGTTTGCCTACAGTACCGAAGGTCCTGGGCTCGAATCCTGCGTGTTGCAAATGTCGTGGATGCGCACTGCTGAGGAGTCCCATACTAGGACGAAACGGCCATCCAGTGCTTCCAGGTTTCGAATAGTGGTCTAACATTGATCGATTCATGGTTTCAAAAATGTGTAACTTAACAATCTTCACAACCCCGTAATGCAAAAAGGAATTTCTCATGATATAGAGTGTGATGTAAGTAAAATAAAATAATTGTACACAAGGAATCTAGTTAAGAACTTGTCAATAGTATGTGATTTATTCAAACTGTGTATCGATCATCGTTAGATCACCATTAGAAACCTGAGATCAATGGAAAGCTGTTTCGTCCCGATATATGGGACTCATCAGACAGATAAACAGATACAACACAGAACTTCGTACATAAGTACATCAGTTCTAGTTGCCATACCATGTCAGCACAGACGCAATTGTCAGTTCAAATCCAACAGTGATAGCGATAATAGAAGTATTACCAGTAATGCAGAAGATTATGCAGCAAAGATATGATTCGAAAAGTATAATTCATCCATCAACATCTTCATTATTTGAGCTGCTGCACGGGTAATAATTCAAGTCTCGAAGGATCAATGTAATCTCATCCCCGTTGCCAATTGTTAGGTTCGTCACTAGGTATACTTGAAACTATTATGGGTTCACCTTACTCGATAAACGAGAACGAGTCCAGAAGAGGCTAAGGATCTGGGTCATAAAACGTTATGCCTAATGCATATTTATACAGTTAGGTCGAATAGGAAACGTCCTTGAGGGTCAAAAAACAGTACACTAAAATACACAGCAGCCAATCACAGCCAAGAATTTACCTAGTGGGAAATGAAATCTCAAGGTCAACTGATCAGCCCATGTTAGGAAACGTAAAATCCAAATTAAGGCCTTTATCAAGCGAGTTCTGGGGATCTAACATCCCTAACATCTCTCCAGTCATATATAACACTAATTTTAATTCTCTAATGACTAATTGAAAAAAAATCGATTGTAAAATAATTATTCATAATGAAAATTTTTATTATCCTATTAAAAAACAAGGAAACAAAGCCTTACCCATGACAAAATCCAACAGTTTGCCATAAAGCTACTAAATTCGCTGTACGTTTTACTACTTCTCTAAAGAATTCTAAATAACATTTAATGAGATCATTGGAATGTGCTGCCCATATCTTTATTGATTAAATGATTTCATCGATGACGAAGAATAAACAAGAAAGAGGAAGGATATAAAATGAAAATGTTATACCCATCAATTTCAAGTGAAAACAATGAAAAAGTAATTTCAACAGACAATTTGTGGTTATTTGTTTTATTCAGAGAAGTAAAATTTAGTGAAAACTAAGGAAAATAATGGGATGTTAGTATAAGCGTTTGATAGAGATTAGTGAATTTCATACTATACACATAATGGACTGAATTTAGAAAGATGATCACTGAAAAATTAGGTAGTACTAGTGTTAGCGCGACATAGATGGATTAAAGCATGACTGAGTTAGCTGCGCTCTGATTTGCTGATTCCTATACAATCAGTCAGTTGCAATTTGGTCTCGTGTGCTGTTACGGGTATGAGGGCGGTTATCACTTCCCGGCTGCCCACACCGTGGAAGGTTGTTTCTTGAGGAACCTGAAAAGGAAGATAGATTAGTGCTGGTCTCGGAGACCTGGGTGCGTGACCGCAGAGCCCAAGCGACAACTGCTTGAGGCCGGTCACGCACGGCCTTTTTATGAAACGTTTTTTGAGGATTAGCTCCGTTCTTAAAGGCCCTTCGTGGGCACCCTTACCACCAGAGACGGAAATCCGTGAGTTAGGGGAGGTGTGACATTTTTAGGGCCGACCTTTTCTAACCCTTCCTTGCTTGTGAGAAGGCAGCATCGCTGCAGATGCTGGTTGTCCGAGGGAAACACCTTACTGCTGTCACATCCCTCCACAGTCAGTCAGCAGTACGACTTCGCCCTCAGACCTTGGGTAGCTGCTTTTAGTCTCATCGTTCTCCAATCGACCTGCCTGGCATGGTAGGACCTGCAGGAACATGTGTTCCAGCCAGTATAGCTCGGTTGGGTCATCATGATAGGCAAGACCGACCACCACCTCAAGGTAGCAGCTTCGGTTGGGAATCCCTATCCAATCAGCGCTGGCCGATACTTGGAGAGCATTCTAGAAGCTCCTGATATTAGCTGCACGCTGATTGGTTAAATCTTACCTAACCAGCGCTAGTCGATACGTGGAGTACATTCCAGAAGCTTCTCATGTAAAAACTATAAAGATAGTAACGTTGTTCCTATTTCTCCTTCGCTTCGGCTTCTTACTTGCATTTAGCCTTGCTATTTGGAATATAATCTTTTCCTTGATTTGGGAACTTGTTAGGTGTATTGTTGTCAGAAAATACTAAGCAATAGGAATAGATGGGTTTACTAAGAGAGAATTATAGGAACTAGGTAGCTATTTTGTCCTAGTATGGGATTTCTTAGAAGTAAACGTCCACAAACTAATGTGGGACCGAACCCCAGATCATTCAATTGGTTTATATGTTACATCTATTCCAAACGGCTTCAGTAACCTTGTTGCAATTTTCGATAGGTCTTTTAGATATATATATATCACCCCGTTAGAAAATGAATCTGATTCTTGACAAATGAGATGGATTCGTCCTTTGGTCTGTTCTCACGTAACACTTATTCTCCCGACACCATATGTTAATCTGACATTGGCGCTACATGTGAACTGTTTGGACTTGACAAGATTAACACCTCTCCGATTTTTTTTCAAAGAAGGCTTATATTATATGATGGACGATGTCCTGAGATCTTAACATGATATACGGCAAGCCACGCTTCAAAACTGACTGCTTGAGTGAGAAGTCAAGAGCAGAAGAGAAAGCCTATTTGGCTAACGAATAATATTAACAAGTACTCGTTTGAATAAAAGAGAAATTACGGGGTGTAAAAAGGATTTGATTTTGACGAATTTGATCTCGCGTACTGTTACGGGTATGAGGGCGGTTATCACTTCCCGGCTGCCCACAACGTGGAAGGTTGATTCTTGAGGAACCTGAAAATGAAGATAGATTAATGTTGGTCTTGGAGACCTGGGTGCGTGACCGCAGAGCCCAAGCGACAACTGCTTGAGGCCGGTCACACACGGCCTTTTTATGAGTTTTTTAGTATTAGTTCCGCTCTTAAAAGCCCTTAGTGGGCACCCTTAACCAAGGAGACGGAAATCTGTGAGGTAGGGTGAGGTGTGACATTTTTAGGGTCAACCTTTTCTAACACCTTCCTTCCTTGTGAGAAGGCAGCATCGCTGCAGATGCTGGTTTTCCGAGAGAAACACCTTACTGCTGTCACATCCCTCCATCATAATCAGTCAGCATTATGACTTCGCCCTCAGACCTTGAGTAGCTGCTTTTAATCTCATCGCTCTCCAATCGACCTGCCTGGCATGGTAGAGCCTTCAGGAACATAAGTTCCAGCCAATATATCTCGGTTGGGTCATCGCGATAGGCAAGCCCGACCACCATTTCAAGGTAGCAGCTACGGTCAGGACTCGTTTCTGTAAATATATATCACCCCATTAGAAAGTGAAACTATTTCTTGACCAATGATATGTATTCGTCCTCTAAAATATCATCAAATTGGCCTTCTTATTTGGTCGCTTCTGATTGGCCGACGATATCAGTTTATGTTTTTTAATTCCAGTTGAGATGAGAGGAGTATGAGTAACACCAAACACATGACATCGAAACTGTACAAGAGCAACTCTGAAAAATACTTACATCAGGATAAAATTGTTGTATCACAAAATTAGTAAGCTGTGATACAATTGTCAAATTACCAACACTTGGACCAGAACGTCCAGTGATTGGATCTTGAGTTTTAGTTATTTCAAAAGATCCAAACCTTTGAAAGAGATAACAATAAAAAAAAATATGATGGTGAAAAAAGTGTATAATCAAACACACAAAAACGCGCGCCTACACACACATGTGTATAAACGTTTGTCTCAATAGAATCAAATAAATATTACACCATGATTAAATTCAGCAAGGTGAATTAAGTGTGTTGAATAGATTTGCTGCGATGATACCATATTAATAATGGAAAGAATATGTATAGATGTCAGAATAATCAAGAATAGCAATGCAGTAGAGCCAGACAATAAACCAGCTGAAGGAATGAAAACAGATAAGTGAGTACCTGCAATGATACACCATAGTCTGTTCAATAAGATTTGGGAGGGAGAACAAGTGACACCAGATTGGAAAGAAGGTCACTTCATCAACATACCAAAGAAAGATATCAACAAGTTAGAGAGCTACAGAGGTATCACTCTACTTTCAACAGCAAGGAAAGTCTTCAACAGTGTCGTTAAACCGAATGAAAAATTAAGTAGACACCCAACTTCGATATCAGCAAGCCGGATTCCGAAAATATCGATCGTGCAACGAACATATCGCAGGTGGCAATACGGATCATTGTGGAACGGCCAACTGGATAGAACTCGCCGCTGTACACCAACTTCTTTGACTATGAGTATGGACAGGATGACACTATGTAGGTTTCTCCAACACTATGGTGTACCTGATAAGATGGTCAACATCATACGAAATTCTTATGATGCACTAGGCTGCAAGATTGTGCATGGAGGACAGCTCACAGACACGATGCTTACTCTCACTTTCACTCCTTCTTCTGGTAATCAACAGCCTTAGGAAGACCTTGACACCTCAAAGGAAGCAAGGGATACAGTGGACAGCTCGGATACAGCTGAACGACTTGGACTTTGCAGATGATCTAGCTCTTCTATCCCAAACACAGAAAAAAAATGCAGATGAAGACAACAAGTGTAGCAGCAGCCTGTGCAGCAGTAGGTCTCGAAAAACACAAATATTCCATACGCTCTTATACGGACGTGCGTCTACAGCCACAGTTGTCATCGCAAAATACTGATGATCCGTTGAACAGACACTATCAGCAACAACCTATAGAGTGAGAGAACAAACAATAACGCAGCTGAGGGGGAAATCAGGGAAAAACGTTCGGGGTGGATACGGTATATATGATGGAAACCATCAAACTGCATCACGAGGCAAGCCCTAACTTGGAATCCTCAAGTTCCAAGGAAAAGCAAATGAATACATAAGCGAATTGAAGGGAAGATTGGCCACTAAAATGTTTATCAATTTAAGAAACATCAATCTACTTATTTTATTATGCCGCACTTTTTGAATAATTCAAAAATCACAAGTTCATAACTGTAGAATTGCTTAAAAGTGTTAGATTTTTGAATGCCATTTGGGGATTTTTAAACTATAGCAGTGTGGTGTAAGCTACTTATACAGACAGATAATAAGTAGTATAACTCCATTAGCATCTCTTCCTTGAATTGTCCATCACAATCTTCATCGTTCACATCCATTCTTGTCGTTACTCCGATTGCCCTGCTTTTCTTTCTTCTCCCCTTATTTTATCCTTCCTTCATGCTTCATAGTACTACTTATATCTGTCCATATAAATAAGTAGTACACATCATAGAAAAGTAAAAACACAAAAAAAATTAAAATCAAAAATTACCTAATAAATGTTTTAGCTATTCTACTAGTTATACTAGCTTTTTCAAATATATTATCACCTGTATAAAACATATCACGTTCAACTAGTGTATCAGATGTAATAATTGATGCAGCTCGAGTAGTTGGTATACCTAAATAATACATTGCCTGTAAAAATAATAAGAAATAGAAAAAAAAGATGAAATTACGTAAGAGGATGATAAGAACAAGGACAACAACAATAATTAGATAAATGCAATTATTTATTCAGCATAGAATAATCAGCATGATTGTTGCATGAAGATGCCTTGGAGGACGTTAACACCTTTACATATCTGGGCAGCATCATCGACGCGAGCAAGGTGGATCCGATGCAGATGTGAGGGTGCGAGTTGGCAAAGCAAGGACTGCATTTCTAAAGTTGAAAAGTATCTCGAACTCCAAACAACTTTCAACCAAAATCACGATTTTCAATACAAATGTCAAGACAGTTCTACTGTATGGAGCGGAAACATGGAGAACTACCAAAGCCATCATCCAGAACATACAAGTGTTTATTAACAGTTGTCTACGCAAAATACTTCGGATTCGTTGGCCAGACACCATCAGCAACAACGAACTGTGGGAGAGAGAGAGAGAACAAACCAGATTCCTTCAGTGGAGGAAAAAATCAGGCGGAATCGGTGGAAGTGGACAGAACACACAACATTACGAGAAGCACCCAAACTGTGTCACAAGACAAGCCATCACTTAGAACCCTCAAGGTAAAAGGAAAAGAGGTAGGCCAAGGAACACATTACACCGAGAAATAGAGGAAGATATGAGAAGAATGAACAAACATTGGACAGAACTGGAAAGGGAAGCCCAAGACAGAGTTGGCTGGAGAAAACTGGTCGGCGGCCTATGCTCCATTGGGGGTAACAGGCGTAAGTAAGTAAGTACGTAATCAGCATGATAGTATTCAAACAATTGCATTCTAAGATTAGGAATAAATTTGAATACACTGATTACTCGATGTGTTCACTAGTGACTAGCTTCGCGAGGGAATTCTCAGAGTTCTAGTGAGAAGAATTGGCCAGTGGAGTTCATCAACCCTGTTTGGGTGTAGGCAGTAACCAAAGAAGACAAATGAGTAAGATCGCGCAAAATCACTAGATTGATCAAAGTTAGATATAAACACGATTGGATACCGGTCTGATGGTGTAAACGTCAGCGTTCGTCGGCGCAAGACCGAAGGCCCTAGCTTCGCATACGGCATGTAGCAGTAGTCATGTATGCGCACTGTCACTGATGAGTTCCATACCAGGACAAAACGGTCATCTTTCGGTGGCTTAACAATGATTGATTCATGACTAACGTAATAAACAACAGTCTCCATAACTCTCTCTAAACAGTTAAATGCAATGTAGAAATTGGCAAGAACATACATCAGTCCAAATCGTCACACCACTTATCAACACACACACATACAGAAATGAAACTGTCAGGTAGTAGAATTATGAATGATAATGAGAAAGATTAGAGAAAAAAATACATAAGTAATATAAATTTTTAAAAAAAAAGAAAGATTGAGGTATTTAGAAGATTAAAAATTTATGGGATTTAAAGGTTACGTGGTGCGCGCTACTTATAAGTAGTATATGACGTGAGTGTAAACGTAATGTCTGGCAGCAGAAGAGATAGGGGAAGATCAAGAAAGGAATAGTTAGAAGAACACAATGGAATTTGTATGAAACGCATGAATAGTGAAATGTCAGACAATGGATTGAAGATTTGCAAATTCACGGTTACGATATGGTTTTCCTATTTTACTGAGTAACTCTGTAATTTGCGATAAATGCAATTCGGTTGCCATCACCTGTGTTTTCCTTCACTACAGTTACACTGAATTATACTTCTTGAATAATATCTTCGAGTGCTAATCTCTCCGGTAACTGTTCATACTTTTACAACCTCTACTACTAAGGGATTGGAATGGACAATCGCATCTGTATGTTAATGTGATTTGGTAACTTGAACTAGATGTACGCACGTATGAAGTTCTACGTTGTAGCTAGTTGACTGACTGGCATTATTCTCAGATAAAGAAAAACATACTAACAAATAACTTTGAAACCTTGAGTTTGCAGTAATCAAAATGTGTCTGCGTGACAATGTGAAGTTTGTTCAGTGCATTTTAACTTTAAATGAATCAATCAACCACAGTATAGATGCTAAAATGAGAAGAACGTTTATTATTCACAGAAGCAAGGTTAGTTGCTTATCTGAAGTGAAATAAACCATAGACAAAAGTACAAAAACGTTTTCTGTTTTTATTGCCTCCATCAATTCGCTCTGTCCTACTTTATGGCTGTGAAACCTGGACAATCAGGGTAGAAGATATTTGTAGGTTACTGGTTTTCGATCACAGATGTCTCCGAAGCATTGCTCGAGTATCATGGGGCAACCGAGTAAGCAATGCTGTCGTTAGGAAACGAGTACTAGGTAAGGATGCCAGATCAATAGATGAAGCATTGAAACTTCATCAGTTGAGGTGGTTGGGACATGTGTTACGAATGCCTAACCACCGACTGCCGCGACGAGCTATATTTTGTGGTGTAGGAGTAGGTTGTAAGAAAGTTAGGGGCAGCCAAACCAAAACATGGCACAAATTACATGAAGTCACTGACAAGTAGACTGAGTCATATCGGTAGGTGTCGATTACCGGGTTGGCGTCCGCGAGAAGATAATAATCGATGGTTAGAGACCTTGAATGACATGGCTCAAAATCGTCTGCAATGGCGCATGTGCATCCATTCTTTATCTTCATTCAAATCCTAATCTTCTGGATTCGTGAATACCTCTACCTTTGTCTTATCTTACTGAATTATACTTCTTGAATAATATCTTGGAACCCTAATTTTCTCCATTACCAGTAGTACTCCTAATATCTCCACTACTATGGGATTTGAATTGACGATTGCGTCTCTGAGCTAATGTGGTATGGCAACGTGAACTGATGTACTTACGTACGAAGTTCTACGTTGCAACTGACTGACTGACTGATATAGTACCGAGCATGCTTCAAATCATTCAAGATAAAATGAATACTGGAATAAATTGGGCATTAAATTATTATCGGTTTAACTATTGAAATTCATCATTCTGTTAAAATTAACAATAGGCATTAAGATGCCGTGTTTCTACGCTTCGTCAAAGCAACAGCAATTTAAAAACAGTTCAGAATATGGATTTATGTGGCCACATGGAGAAAGCTATTAATTTATCACTAATCAGGTAAATTCATAACTTCACATGGAACCTCTCTATGGCTGCTGACTTTCCTAAGCCCGTGGATAAAGGAAGAGGGTTGGGAATGGATTTAGTGAACCCATCCCATAAAAATTCAACTAGCTAAACAAAACGCTAACCAGAAAAATTATTGGCTAATAGGTGGCCTATGCTCCACCATTAGGGGTAACAGGCGTAAGTCAGTCAGTAAGGTAAATTCATAGTTTTGACTGAAATCTCTAAATGATCACTGTATTTTTTTCATAATGAACTTCGATCAAAACATATGTCCCCCAATCACCTGAAATGATGAAGATTCATTATCTTATCGATCAGTTTGTCATCCTTACCTGATGGTACCCTATCAGCATTGCTTATTCGGTGGCTTCAAAAATACTCAAGCTATGCTCAGTTAATATAACTGCTAACACTAGACCACCATCCTAAAATATCTCAGAGGTTAACCATTCGGTTCCTGCTGCTGCTCCCCCGGGTTAGTGATGAATATAAGAGTTATTAACAAGTAAGGATGAGATTTGATCGTGAACAAGATAATTTCGCGTGCTGTTATGAGGTTTAAGGACGGTTGCCACTTCCTGGTGAAGTTATGTTCCAGCCAATATAGCTCGGTCGGGGTCATCACAATAAGAAAGCCCAACCAGCACGATTGGGACATTTGCTGTACGATATTCCCTCGTCATAAAATCAATATATATATATATATATATATATATATATATATATATATTACTTCAGTCGTAATCTAACCTCAGAGCATAGAAATTCTCGTAAACTAGATCGTAATACTTTTCTTCCATCAGCATGTCGAGAGAATGGTGTTAAACCGGAACCTTTCAATTGTAATTCCCAACGTTCACCTTGTTCATTGATTATTTCACCAAGTGAACTAGAGAACAAGAAAATATAAGAATAACAAGATCGAATTTAGAATTTTTGAAAAAAAAATATATGTACATAAAGTTATTTCACTGAATTATGCTTCTCGAATGATTATCTTCGAACCGTAATCTTCTCTATTATGGCTAATACTTCTACTATCTCTACTACTATTGGGATTTGAATCAACAATTGCATCTTTCTGTGCTATCGAGGTATGGTAGTTCTACGTTGCATCTGACTGACTGACTGACCGAGGTATGGTAACTTGAATGGATGTACATACGTAAGAAGTTCCACATTGTAGCTGATCAACTGACATATATGTATATATCATTACCAACTAGGTAGAAGGATGATAAGATTTGATCATACTAGCAGTACCTTTCAAAACATACATAAACAAACTGCTTTGTTAAGTTGTAAAACGATGCTATTCATCATAAACAAATAAACAATGATAGTACTATGTTTCTGTTCGGATATTCATCCAATATCCTAAGACAATTATTGGTCAAACCCTATTGGTCGATTTCTATTGGTCAAAATTATGGTCGTTATAACTGTCAAAGTCAAATACATCAATGTTGTTTCTTATTGGTTGTCCTGATTATCAATGTCACTTCAAATGTTACTTCTTATTGGTCGTCTTAACTATCAATGCCACAGAATTCGATGCTGTTTCCTATTCGACCAAAATGTATCAACAGACATGATCTGTAACGTTTATTGACCAGGACCAGGGCTCGGTCCCGGATCCCTAGTCCGGGATCCTGATTCTCTTCTGGATTCGGACCTTGTACTTTCTGGATGCTTGTAGAATACAGGTTCTACTTCACATTCAAGTCTTCTTATTTCCACTAAATATGGGGGTTGTAATAATCGGATATGAGTAACATGTCGTGTCACTGGATCCTTGCTCTCGTTTTTCCGACTAGGTAAACTCGTAATAGTTCAAGTTTGCGTGCAGGTGTAACAGTTTCCATTTTGAAAGCTAGATATATTTTCTAACATTTATCATACAATACATGTGTAAGTTAGTCAGTCAGTCAGCTACAACGTAGAACTTCGTACGTACGTAGGTCAGTTCAAGTTGCCATACTACATTAGCACACACAGATCGAACGGTTAATTCAAATCCCATAGTAAAAGAGGTATTAGGAGTAATAACAGTAATTGGAGAGATTAGGGTACGAAGCTATTGTTCGAGAAGTATATCTCAAAGGAATCAAATTTTAAGAAAAGAGAAAAAGACAGTCTTGAGGAATTCAGAAGATTAGGATTTAAGAGAAGACAAAGAATGAATGCACCTGCACCATTGCAAACGATTTTGAGCCTTGTCATTCAAAGTCTCTTACCATCAGTTGATATTGTCTCGCGGACCCCAACCAGGAAATCTACATTTAACTAACATAACTCATTCCAGAATACATGTGTAACTTCGTCATTTGGTTAGTTTGCGTTTAGCCAGGAGGTATCTTATGTGTTGGAGTGTGAGGAGTAGGGTGTAAGGTTCTGGAAGAGGAAAGAACATTAGTAACGGTGAGTCGACGACTCACTGAATTATACTCTTTGAATAATTTTTTCGAACCATTATCGCTAATGCTGCTACAACCTTTACTACTATGGGATTTTAATTGACAGTTCGATATCTGTGCTAATGTAGTATGGCAACTTGAACTGATATACGCACATACGAAGTTCTACGTAGTGGCTGACTGATTGACTGACTGATATTAGTTACTGCTATGCCATTCAGTCAGTGTATTGACATCCTAGACTTATAGGAGACCAGTTATGTACAGAATAACTTATCAAACTAAATGACATTAGATGGAATATTTAGAGATGTTGGCTCACTTTAATAACCACAGTGAAACACACCTGATCGATAGGATATGTGATCAGCGCTAAGGACTAAACAACATAACACTAGTTACCACCTGATAACTGATTCGTGTGTAAACAACTGAGTCATACAGGTCAGTCATGATTTGCATCTCATAATGAGGGTGTAGAAAGGATTTGATTTTGACCAATTTGGTCTCGTGTGCTGTTACGGGTATGAGGGCAGTTGTCACTTCCCGGATGCTCACACCAGGAAAGGTTGTTTCATGAGGGACCTGAAAAAGAAGATAGATTGGTGTTTGTCTTAGAGACCTGGGTGTGTGACCGCAGAGCCCAAGGGACAACTGCTTGAGGCCGGTCACTCACGGCCTTTTTATTAAAGTTTTTTGAGTATTATCTCCGATCTTAAAGGCCCTTTGCCGGCAACCCTTACCGATGGAGACGGAAATCCGTTAGGTAGGGTGAAGTGTGACATTTTCAGGGTCGACATTTTCTAACCCTTTCTTCCTTCCCTGTGAGAAGGCAGCATCGCTACAGATGCTGGTTGTCCGAGGGAAACACCTTACTGCTGTCACATCCCTCCACAGTCAGTCAGCAGTACGACTTCGCCCTCAGACCTTGAGTAGCTGCTTTTAGTCTCATCGTTCTCCAATCGACCTGTCTGGCATGGTAGAACCTTCAGGAACATATGTTACAGCCAGTATAGCTCGGTTGGGTCATCACGATAGTCAAGTCCGACCACCACGTCAAGGTAGCAGCTACGGTGATGATAACAACAGAAATTTCTTTCAATTTTTCCCAATAATTTAATACTTTTAATTATATTAAGCGGGTCGCTTACTATAAACCAGCAAAATTAGTATTTTGATTCACACTGGATGCTAATAAAAAAAATCCGCCGGTGTTATTTTTTATTGTTACATAATGTTAGTGGGACATAAGATGGAATTAAAGCATGACTACGTTGCTGCGCGCTGATTGGCTAATTTCCTATCCAATCAGCGCCTGATCGATTCTTGGAGAACAGGGTAGAAAATTCTCGTACTGTTAGCTGCGTGCTGATTGGTTAAATCTAATCCCTTCGATCACGTGGATTTCTATCCAGAAGCTTCTCATGTAAATGCTATAAATAGACTAACGTTGTATCTATTTTTGCCTTCGACTTCGGCTCTTATTTCCATTAACCTTGCTATTTGGAATTTAATCTTTTCCCGTTCCACCGTGTTTCTGATTCTTGGAAACTTGTCCAGTGTATTATGGTCAGAGAATACTAAGCAATAGGATTTAGCTGGGAATTATTTAAGCAAACGTTACAACACATGACTTCGTGTGAACTCCACCTGGAGCCTTTCTATGGTTACTGCCGGTCCTAAGCCCGAATAAAGGAAGAGGGTTAGGCATTAGGTGTGGGGTGGGGTTTCGCGACTTCATCCCATAGAAATTCAACTCACCAAAAAAATAAAAAACGTTAACCAGAGAAAAATACAACAAATAAATACTACTACTATATGTGATTGATGAATATACCTAAGAAAATTGAAAAAAAAATGACAAAAAACACGCTTACAACATACATTGCTGCACCATCACCAAGTTGTCCAGCAAAACTACCAAATTGATAACCACAATAACAATGAGCTATTGGATCACTACCAGGCCATAATTTATTCCCTGATAAATAATCAACTAAACAATGCGTTTCTTCTTCTTTCTGTTCTGTTTTCTCTTCACAGTTCTGTTTATTATCTGGATGACTAATTTCATATTGAATATTTAACAGATTTAGTGCATCAGGTGATAATAAAACTATACGAGGATTATCGACTTTTGTCGGCGTGACACGTGTGAAACATGCATTTGGTACAGAACGTATAGTATTAGATCCATTGTCAATTGGAAGATGTTTTAATTGAATATTATCGAATTGTGGATAATTGATTGATTGTGATGATTTACCGGACGACAATGAACATGTAGTTGAAAGCATACAAGTTTTTTTATGAACAACAATATTGGGACTGGAACAGAAGCGAAGATATGATTTGTTGAAATAGTATGCCACCAATTTCTGAAACGTTATATATAGAATAAAATAAAAAACAAACAATGAAGGAGTTCATATGAATGTATTCCAATGTGTGTATTAAGGTGCAAGTGAAATTACTTGAGTCAATATAAAGCGAAACTTTAACTATTCACCATTGTGTACATAAAGACGGTTTATTGTGTATATTGAATCACGTGAAAACTAATGGTAATTAGTCCCGACCGTAGCTGCTACCTTGACGTGGTGGTCGGGCTTGCCCAGCGTGATGACCCAACCGAGCTATACTGGCTGGAACATATGTTCCTCAAGGTTCTACCGTACAAGGCAGGTCGATTGGAGAACGATGAGACTAAAATCAGCTACTCAAGGTCTGAGGGCGAAGTCGTACTGCTGACTGACTGTGAAGGGGTGTGACAGCAGTAAGGTGTTTCTCTCGGACAACCAGCATCTGCAGCGATGTTGCTGCCTTCTCACAAGGAAGGAAGGGTTAGAAAAGGTCGACCCTAAAAATGTCACACCTCACGGATTTCCGTCTCCGGTGGTACGGGTGCCCACTAAGGGCTTTCAAGAGCGGAGCTAATACTCAAAAAACCTTTCATAAAAAGGCCGTGCGTGACCGGCCTCAAGCAGTTGTCTCTTGGACTCTGCGGTCACGCACCCAGATCTCTAAGACCAACGCCAATATACTTTCCTTTTCAGGTCCCTCTAGAAACAACCTTCCACGGTGTGGACAACCGCCCTCATACCCGTACCAACACACGAAACCAAATCGCTCAAAATCAAATCCTTCCTACACCCCTTAGTACCTCTCTTATCTCCACGACTAACTCTTCTCACATTCCTTTATCACACTGCACAGCTAATGCAAACAATACGAGTTCACGAAACGTCATTTCTGGTCTCCTGAAACCCCGTTCTTGAATGGTAATTACTGAACGTCTAGATCTTCATATTTACAAACCGTCTAGAAGGAAAGAATAATCTGATTGGTTGATTAAGTCCTTTATAGTTAACTATCATGCACTTGGATAAGTAAGTAGGGCAAGAACAACAGCAAGTCATGGTATACAAACTAGTGAATCATGATGTTATCAAGGTGTTCAAAACCAAATGAGAAAAATGATATTTTAGGATGAAAGTCAGCTAGTAGAAAAAAAAACCCCTAAACTACAACTCATGAGATAGTAATATGGTTGGATTCGATTACTTGGTCTCCTTTAGTTAACTAGTAAATTGCGAAAACTCAAGATAAAGGTGAACATCAATACAGCTCAATGAACCTGTTATATATCGATGTGATAAATTTTGAGCAGTACTTTTTTTGTGTACAAACTGATTATATTACCCAACTACTTTTATCAAAGTACGTAAGAATATAGTTGAAGTCAAGATTTCAATATTTGAGAATTCAGTGGATTATTTATTAAGGCATTAATAAGTATCGGAACTTTAAAAAGTACTGTCGTTTAGTGTATTCATACTTATTTCAGCGCGATAGACAAGTCTCATTACGAAATTAAGACATATTTTATCAGGAGAGCGTCTAATTTCAATCCTAGAATAGGATTGCTCGTGTATCCTGATACAATGCTCTCGTTAGTAAATGAGTACTAGGTAAGGATGACATATTAATAGATGGGGTATTGAAACTTCATCAGGCATTTGGGATATGTGTTACGTATGCCCAACCACCGACTGCCTCGGCGCGCTGTGTTTTGTAGTGTAAGAGTAGGTTGGAAGAAAGTTAGCGGTGACCAAACCGAAACATATCACAAATCCATGAAGTCACTGACAAGTGGACTAATTTATGTTAGTAGATGTAGACTACCTGGTTGAAGTCCGCGAGACGAAAGTCACTGATGGTTAGAGACCTTGAATGACATGACATGAGTATGGATTTTCCTACTGAATCATCGGTCAAATGAACTCAAGTCAACATGTGGTCAAAGCTTTATCTATCAACATGTTCGAAACAAACTTGAGTCAACTGGTCTGTGCTAATTCTTGAGTCGTTGGACACAGATAGAAAGCTGCCTTCACATAATCGGCTAGCAGCAGATGAGTAACTACTGTCAGTATATGGAAAAATAAATATTACAAAGGTGGCAAGGAAAAAGAGACAGCGCTTTAAGAATAAACAAATCAAAGAGTACTCTACAATATATGAGTCGACAGATTTAGCTATAGAAATCCACGGCAACACATCACAGACTAGACAGAGGTAAAGCCTGTATTCTGTATAAGATTTGGCTAGGAAGCAAAACAAAGTCGATGACTGACTAACAGTAGCACAGATAGGTTAATTAATTTCAGAAACATGACTAACGTCAGAAGTGTATGATAGTGAAATTCAAATACTTGGTTTCTTACTTTGCAGGGCTATAGGGGTGGTGAGTTCAACTTGTACATAAAAAGCACATTAAGCAGACAAGATTTCTAGACAATGACATGTGAATTTGCGCGTTGCCAGCTAAAATGCAAAGGGCAAAACATTGAATTAGTTGTAGTATACCACAATCCAGAATGTTTAGTAGATGATTTTCTCTGAAATAAACTTAAATCCTGGTTGAACACGTGTAAAAGCTTCATAGTAAGTAAGTATAAACTAGGGAAAGCCTAAGGTCACTTAACACATCGCTTGATTACAAGCGGTTAGAAACCACAATCACGTTAGCTTTATTCCAGCACATTAGAGATCCTACCACTCTTGATCCACAAAACTTATATCTTGGACTTAGTCTTCACTCACAGTGATGATGTCAGTCAGTCAGTTGCAACGTAGAACTTCGTACGTATGTACATAAGTTCAGGTTGCCATACCACATTAGAACAGAGACGCTAATATCAAATCAAATCCCATAGTGATAAATATAGTAGAGGTATTAATGGTAATGAAGAAGACTAGGGTTTGAAGATATTATTCAAGAAGCATAATTCAGTCAGATAAGGTTAGAAAGACAAAGGTAGGGGTGCTGACGAATCCAGAAGATTAGGATTTGAGAGAGCTCAACGAATGGATGCACTTGCGCCATTGCAAACGATTTTGAGCCATGTCGTTCAAGGTCTCTAACCACTGGTGACTTTCGTCTCGCGGACCCCAACCAGGTAGTCTACATCTGCCAACATGACTCAGTCCACTTGTCAGTGACTTCATGGATTTCTGCCATGTTTTTGTCTGGCCACCCCTAGCTTTCTTCCAACCTACTCCTACACCACAAAACATAGCTCGTCGAGGCAGTCGGTGGTTAGGCATTCGTAGCACATGATGTAAACCATATAAAGTTTCTCCATTTTTAAAGTGGGGAGATTATGAGGTCATCTTGTTCATTGCCGGCATGGTCTGTCAGGTAGATGCATTGGTCCTAACATATGGAAGACAGGCATGAAGGCGATCAACTTTGCTGCCTCGACTTAAAACTGAAAAATTGACTCTGGAGCATCAGTAGGGGAGAGATGGGTTCATTTCCGGAAATCACACAACCAAGTTATTCAACCATTTATACCTTAGACAGTTACAAAGAAGAAAAAGCACGTCTATCTGTGAATAAACCGGGAGATTCAACGTTTACGTAATAAAAAGTATTGCATTGTCGCCATCAACCTTGGCACAGTGAATGCGATGGAACGTTACAGGTTGGTCCGAAACAAGTGTATGGGCACAATCGGTGCAGCTCAATAAATATATGAGGAGCAGATACCTTCCACAGTGTGGGCAGCCGGGAAGTGACAACCGCCCTCATACCCATAACAGCACGCGAGACCAAATTGGTCAAAATCAAATCCTTCCTACACCCCCTAATGTCTCTCTTATCTCCACGACTAACTCTTCTTACATTCATTCATCACATTGCACAGCTAATGCAGACGATACGAGTTCGCGAAAGGTCGTTCCTGGTCTCCTTAAACCTCGCTCTAGACTACATGTTGGAGCATTTAATGTACGGACATTGTGTCAAATAGGGCAACAGGCTTCCTTAGCTATGACTTTAGAATCTCGTGCCATCGATGTATGCTGCGTCTCGGAAACGCGCATACAGGATCCGAGTCACGTCATACACTTGACCACACCATGTCAAAATAAAGAAGCAGCTCGATTTACTCTTCGTGTATCCGGTAGCCCTGATGCTGCTTCCCGGGGTCTTGCTGGCGTAGGCATAGCATTGAGTCGTAGGGCAGAACAATCTCTCCTTGACTGAATCCCAATAGATAGTCGATTGTGCGCTGTCCGACTAAACGGGACAGTAAGGACTCGGAAAGATAGGGACAATCGCCGTTGCCTCTTCATCGTATCTGCCTATGCCCCCACTGAATGCAGTTCAGACGAGGTTAAGGATGAGTTTTACAGAAAGCTTTCGGACCTCCTCCAAAAAGTTAAGCGCTCTGATATAGTTATAATGGCCGGTGACTTCAATGCTCAAGTAGGTAGACTAAGTGAGCAGGAGAGACACCTAGGTGGATGTTATGGTGTCGCGGCTCAGAGAACAGACAATGGTGACCGTCTGTTGCAAACATGCTCAGACAACCGCCTATTCTTAGCGAACACTAACTTTAGGCATAAGGAAAAGCACCTGTTGACCTGGCGACCTCCAAAGTCGTCTCAACGTTGGACTCAACTAGATCACATCGCCATCAGCCACCGATGGAGGGGTTCGATAGAGGACTGTCGCTCGTTCTGGGGCACATGTTTGGATTCAGATCATGCCCTAGTGCGAGCGCGTATTTGTTTGAAGCTTACTGGACGTAGGAAAGACACCGTAAGAAAGCCTCTTAGGGTTTTGCTTAATGATAATAAGGCGAAAAATATATTTCAGGAACAACTAGAAAGACAGTTAGGCGACCATTTAAGCGATTCCCATCCGGAAGCAGGATGGAATGATATCAAAAAGGCTGTGGAAACAGCAGTGATATCTGCTAGTGAGGTTGACCATAAGGCTAGAATG